TCTATATTTTGCAAACCAATAATTTGCACTCTGAATATCTTTCTTTGTACCGATACCATTTCGATAATATCGAGCAATATTAATCATTGCTGATTTAACACCCATATTGACAGCTTTTTTATAGTATTCAAATGCTTTATTAAAATCTTGATCAACCCCGTCTCCATTTTCATAACAATAACCGACATTACTTATTCCGTTAGCATTATCCAAATCAGCTGATTTTTTATAATATTCAAATACTTTCTGATAATTTAATTCTACTCCAATTCCATCATAATAACAATTGCCTACAGCATGCATCGCATCTGAATTTCCTAACTTGGCTGCTCTCATATAATGTTCAAAACCGTTCTTTTCATCTTTCTTAACACCAATTCCATCAAAATAACAATTGCCAACAGCATAAATCGCATCCGAATCTCCTAACTCAGCTGCTCTCATATAATATTCAAAACCTTTTTTCTCATCTTTCTTAACACCAATACCGTGTTTATAATTGTAACCAAGTTCATAAAGTTGTTCAGAATCCATTTTTTAAGAAGTAAAAAATAATCATGCATTAAACAAAATGCATGCTTTAATTATCCGGAGTGTAGCGGAGGACATTTAATGTTTAGTCAAGTGATACAAAAGCTACATCAAATAGTTACGTTTTTAATGAATTCATTAGTTGACTTTTATTGTCGTATCAAGAAGAGTAAATTTTGTTTCTGCCGCATGCATATTTGTAACTTTTAGTGTAACAAAAAACAGAACTAATTAAAGAGTAAAAATATCAACGGATGATTTTGCTATAGACTTGATTAGCTAGTATTATTTAATGCCAGCCCGGAATTTTGGATTGCCCCGTAAATAATACTTTATGATAAAGATAAAGGAATCTCAATAAAAAATATTCCTGCTACAAGTATTGAATAGTAACAGTAATTGCAAGGGTGGTGTTCACAAATACACGTACAATAATACTAATGTACTATGTTTATTTACAGAAGGCTACTAAATTCTTAAATATCGATTTTAATACTCTGAATTTTATTAAACAATATGCTTAACATTAAGTATACATAACAGAGAATTTCGTCATTTCAAACATAGGACTTTTTAAACATAATAGTATTTATTCTCACAAACTCTTTAGTAATTCCATTATAACGAGCTATCTAAAGAGTAAAATATTGTTTAAAAATTGTATTATAAAATTTTTGCACACACGATTCAGAAGTTTGATGCTTTCTTACTAGCTAAAATACTTGAATGAAATCCAAATTCAGGAAAGACAAATGTAGTAAGCCTACATAAAAATAATATCAATTGGTGAATGAATAAATGTCATAATTGATTACGAAAAAGTCGTATATGCGTAAAAAAGAAATCCACCTTTTAATTCTTTTACTCCTTTATTAGTAATGTGTGTATATTCAATGTCAAGATATTTTAATTTCCTATTGGCAAACATAGACCCACAGATTGTAGAAATAACGCATTTTATTTAAACTAAGGTAGGTAAGTTCGCGTAGGCCGAATCAAAATTTTTTTTGTCTGGATATTAATGCCATTTCCATATGGCATTAAATATTTGTAATATAAATACAAAACCGTCTAGATAAACAACAACGCCAGTATCCGTAATTAAGGTTCAATCCAGATTAAATTCTCCAAATCTAAAGATTATAATTTCTGTAGAATTTGACTACAATCATCTAATTCACAACATTAAATATTTTTTGTTAATCTCGTACCAGATAAGGATAAGTAAGAATGAAATAAAATAAGTCACTTTCATTTCAATAACTCAAAATCGTTAATATGAGAATGAAATTTATTATTTAAAGCCAAATTCTTAGCTCCGCAAATATATAAGGTACATTTATAAAACCAGTCAAGTCTATTTCTATTCACGGCAATTCTATGAAGAATATATAATAAGGTTAAAGCCACATTTTCGAAAAAAAAAACTTCTAAAATTCAACAGATAAATTTTGTAATATATTGACTACTTTCTCGCTATTTGGAAATTAATGAAATTAAGAGATTTGAACCTTACAAATGTAAAGTTGATTATTTAAAGACTTAAAATACAATGTTTATTACTAAATATTACAAAAGTATCTCACTTTTTTTTATTTTTTTATTTTTTTTTTTACTTTGGTATCCGGAAAAATAGATATTTCATGTCTCCGCCAGTGATATAAATAAGGACAAAGAGTTTATGCGATAAGAATTGTAAAATATATTGAAAAAAATAATTATCGACAAAATATACACATAAGTTTGTTATCCACTCTATAGAAAACATCTTTAAATCCAAGTGCTCTATTCTTTTTGGGCCCTTATCAAAAAATAATAAATTTTTATTAAAGACGAATATATTTATTTTTTTCGCACTTTAACATACTACTAAAAATTAAAGTATTTCGTTAACATACTATTAATAGTTAAATTATTTCTACTTTAGCAAATTATATACTAAAATTATTTCCACACTTTAACATACTATTATATTATCAGCTCGTTCGGCTCTATTATTTATCAGTTTTTATAATAGTCAAATATACAGGCCAAATCAAGCTGTTATTGAGAATATACATATGATATTGATATATAAATGATACGATTTTGTTTAATCACTAAATATAATTTCTGTGTCCTTGGTTCCTTTCGACTATCATGTAATGCTTTGCTGATCTCGAAGATTTACGATCTGTATGCGAATTCAATGTTCTCAATGATAAAATTTTTTGATATAAACCCATCTTAATTTTTCGATATTGTGAAAATTTTCTTTGAGTATGCACGATTGCATCGGCATGTTACACAAAAGTTTAAAATTTCTTGTTACAATTAGTTCTGATTAAACAGTACAAACCAACAATAAGCATTAAATGTTCATGATAAAGTCTCTTGGAAAACTTATTTGTGGTGAGTACCTGTGAAGCGTTGGATTATAATTGCTTTATTAGTGGTTTACGTTAAACTTTGGTTTATAGGTGATCCAGATAATCCTGAACTTAATCAAATAAGTAATGGTGAGCTTTATCTTGTCAGGCCAAATAGTCCAAAAGGCAATAGAGAATGCATGTATGTTTATGTACGCGTCTCTAACTCTTTCAGAAAATACACGTCTGCTAAGTAATTATACGATTTGTCCATAGCTTTCGGGAAGCACAAGCCATTATAAGGCGCACGGGCAATGAATGGCAATATCAACTTGTTGTCGACAGAATTTTTGAGGAAGGTGAAGAAGAACTGATATCAGAAGGTGAATCCGACGAGGAAAGTCAAGGTTTTTTAATGCTATAAGTTCGTATTTTATATCACGTTTCAATTAGTAGGAATCCTAGAATATATGACTTGTAAAGGTGGCGAATAAGGAAAGGTTTTCCTTATTGATGAATCTCTCGAATTTCGTAAAGGTCAAATCGAGGGATTGACCACGTTTGCACGGAGAGATTTAACGGGTGTAAGTGACATCACTATAGTTAAGTCAAACCGTATTTTAGAAATCTAATTGCTTTATTCTTTTTCACAACAGGATCCAGACGATTTGTTCGAATTTGTTTGCGAAGTGAATACTACAGCACATACAACCAATGCTTTCGAATATACCTTACAGCTGCATGTTCGAGCGAAATACAGAAAATCACGTGAAGAGGCGAACGAACAAGATCTTCAAAGTTTCATTTACGTGTAAGTTTTTATATTTAGCTATTGTACCCGAATAGCAATTGCTGTGAGGGCTGCCCGAAGCATATAATAGAACCCGGGTAATTTAACAACACCCGAGATTTCTCAGCGGGTACAATCTTTATTTATATAATGCAATTATACGTCAAAAGTTTATGATATTATAAATCATAGACCGCAAACTGAGAAAAGAAGCCCTTCGAAAGTTCCACAATCCATATCTACACCTTTAAATGACACGCCGGTATCAGCTAGCACGACTCCGGTTAGGTCTATTCGGTCTGAAACTTCCCCATCCACCCCTACAAGACAAATTGCGTCCTTTGATTTTCCCGATGCTCCTTCTGAAATTGAAAGCATTATATCAGTACCGGTTGAATTACACGTATTTGATGCTAATGATGGAACATTTTTGTTAATGTCGCAAAATGCCACTGCCGGTATAATGAAAGGAAAAAAATTTGAGGGTATCCTTTTTTTAAGGTTATCTATATTTGGCATGAACACTTTATCTCTTGACTTTTTTAAATTGTAGATTGGCATTTCATTTCAGATGATAACACAACAACGGGTTGAACCAAAAATGAATCCCGTATTTAACCGGGTAATTTTTTATACTTGTCAGGACAATTTCTGTTTCACACTAGTGTATGAACACAATTTTACTTATAAAATTATTTTTGAGGTTCCAACAAATAAACTCTTTTGCAAAATTATATAAACTATACTCTACCCAAAACTTAATCAACCTGGCTATAACTTAGTTTAGTACACTAGTGTAAATTAAGAAAATTTCTTTTATTAACATTGTTTTATTACTTAAAGTAATTGTTAATTTAATTTAATTTAGACGCATATATGCTTTATATGGTGTTATTCTGATGGTAAATTCTTAATCGATGGTGTTTTTTTTTTCTTTCTTTGATTTTCTTTTTTTTAGCTAACAGTCATTGTTAATAAAGATTCCTGTGATTTCAGAGTCCGATGGAATTTCTTCCTTTTTGATTCGCCTCCGAGATTTAGAGGGTGAAGCAAATTTCAAGAAAAAATTTGCCCAAGCAATGTATGAAACTTTAAATGAAGTTAGGGCAAAGGTTCGGCATAATAATTAATATGATTTTTTTTCTCCTAAATTATCTCGTATAATAAATTTTTTGACTTAGGAAGAACAAGAATCTTTTATGAATGCTTATCAAGAAGATGTCGAAATGACTGATGCTGAATCAACCGACAAAGAAGACACGGAGGAAGGTACGATTATAAGAGTTCGAACCCTTTATCCAGTAATTCTTTTCTTATGCCGATGCAATTAATCGCTGTTGTAGAAATGAAATTTCGGATAATGACGACGATGGCGACTCAGATGTAGTGTTTGTAGTCGATAGCACATTAGTCGACTTAGTCGACTTAGCCGGCTAAGTTGATCAATTTTTTCAAAGATCGGCTTAGTCAACTTCCTATAAATTAATTATACATACTCAAAATTTATTTTACAATTTAATACATACTATACTAAATATGTGAAAAACTATCAGATAGTTTTGTTTTATTTAAATGATTATTTACTAATTAGCTGCTTTATTTAAATAATCATTTTGCTTTAATATTAGTAAAAGAAACCAATAATAATCAAAAAAAAAGTTAATTACAATAGAAGAACTTCGATTTACTTATCAAATATATATATATTAGCTTATGAAACAATTTCGGCTATACATTTTATTGATTATGAAAATGCTTTTAAAGATGTTTAATATTGATCAGTTCATATAATTGCTTAACAGTAGTTTTAGTTAATAATATAGCTTAAATAAAATGCGTACATAGTTAATTAAGCATATTGCATAGAATTATATAAATTCTCTTAAAATGTGCACAGAAGCTCAGTCTTATGTATATTTATTTGAAGGGCTTCATTTAACTATTTTCAAAAATTATCATATTTACTAAATAAAGATTTCAAAATTAATAAATAAGAATGTATTTTAAATATAATTTTAATTTTGAACCCCCTAAGCTATGAATGCATAATTATACCTGTTCTTATTTACAATTAAAACTGGAACTAGACTAAATAGGAATTAGTTAAAATAATCGATGGTCAGCATTTACTATTATAGGACTTTAAGGAAAATTCTTAAATTACAAATCGAAGCTTAATTTTAATCAAGATTTGATTAAAAAGTCTGAAGTCATATATGATAAACACTGACCCAAATAAAATATAATTAATAAAAAGTGCGTAATGAAACAAGTAATAGCTAAAATGTTTACCATATCTTTGCCTATTTACATTGTAAATAGAACTGAAATGCTATGAATATAAAAAAATGAAACTTTAAAATTAGTTTATAATCAAACAAAATGTATAGTATACCATTGTAATATACAAAGCTTCGTAAAATTTTTATATAAATTGAGAATAAATTCATTGCCTAATAAATATACATTCAATAAATATTAAAATTTATCAATAATGGAACAAGATACTTTTTCAGCAAATAATCTGAATTCTAACCTTGAAGACTATGAAAATTTAGAACGACTTGATGGCTATGAAAGCCCTGAAAACCTTGTAGAATTTGAGGATCCTGAAAATTCTGAAGCCATTGAAGATTCTGAAGATGATGATCCTGTAGACCCTGAAAATCCTAGAGATTCCAAAAATCCTAGAGATTCTGAAAACCCTGAAATACAAAATAATGATAATTCAGTATCGGATTCATCAAAAAAAAGAAAAAATCCTATATCTATCTATAGAAAAAAGAAAAAACCTGGTGTTAGAAGCTGGATATGGGATTATACAGGATATGACAAAGTTACTAAACACAAACACTGCTTAGTTGAGGAAAATATTGGAAATAGTACTATAGAGAAATGTATAGCTTCATTCGAACCCAGTATTTCAGTTACCAATATAGCTGCACATTTACGTACAACACATAGAATTTTTAAAAATCAAAATCTAGACATGTCTGTAACTTCTTCAACTAGTGCTACAAAATCTCAAACAACAATTACTTCATTATTTGAAAAACATGCTGAATGCACTCGACCTCTTCCTGATAGCCAACAAAATCGCATTACTTACTGTTTAGTAGCTTGGTTGGTTGAGGCAATGATGTTTTAGATTCTGTTAATAATACCCGTTTTAAAGATTTTTGTCAAGAAATTAACCTACAATTTAAAATTCCATGCACAAATACAATTAAAAATAAAATTGCAGAATTAGTATTATATACGCAATTGAATTTAAAACAACTAATAGATCAAACAATGATGTCTGTTTGTATTACAACTGACCTTTGGACTCAAAATCATACCTCTTATATTGGTGTAACTGCCCATTGGCTTACAAAAGATTTTATGATGTATCAAGCTTTACTTACAATCGAGTATTTTGACTATTCTTATACAGAAGACCGCATTGAAGATTTTTTGTATAAAGTTCTTACTAAGTGAAATATACTCAACAAATTAGTTGCAGTAACAACAAATAATGCAGCATCAATGGTAAAAGCAATTAGGCAACTAGAAACTACTCATTTGGGATGTGTAGCATATTCAATTCACCTTGCAATTACAGATAGCTTGGAGGAAAGTAGTGCTCTAATTGAAAGAGCAAAAACAATAAATAATTTTTTGGTTAACCATGATAAATATCAATTACATTTTTGTAAAATTCAAACTGAAATAAATAAAAAAAAAATTGTAAATTCAAATCTAACAAATCAGTCTACTACAATATTGGAGCCTATTTCAAGTGATACTGCTACTCGCTGGAACTCCACCTATGTTCTTCTTAAAAAGTTTGTGGATCTTCATGAAGCAATTGTAGCATTAGCTAATAATTTGGCAAAAGATTCTGAGAGAGCAATCCGTAATGATGGAAATTCTTTAAAAGAAAAAATTATTTCGGATGATGATTGGCAAGGACTAGATAAGTTATGTAAATTACTTCATCCTTTTGCATGTGCATCTGCTTACATGGGTGGTAGCCAATACCCAACACTAGGAATGATATATCTAACAATACAACATCTATTTAGACATTTGAATCAAATTGAAGATCAACTTACAAACTCTTTTGTTATTAATGTACTTATCTTTCTTTGTGACTCTATGCAAAGTCATTGGGAAGATCCTGACATAGTTGGGTAGCTTGCTATATTGTTAGATCCTCATTTCAAATCATTATTAATGGCACTACCTAACAAACGTGATGATGTAATTAATGAATTACGAAGAAGAATTAACCTTTAATTACAAGAATCACAAGATTTAGTTATGGATAATCTAATAAAAGCATCTGATATGTCCTCATTTTTTGAAGAAGAAGCAGAATCAACTTCTTCATTCCTTGATATTGAGCTGCAAATATATTTGTCTATTCTACAAATGCCCAAATATGAACTTACGGATTCTCTTTATAAAAATAATAATCTCTTAACTTGGTGGAAAGAGCATCGAAATATCTTACCACTTCTTGCTAAACAGGTGCAAATTTTTCTTGAAATACTGGCAACCTCAGTTCCTGCAGAAAGACTTTTTTCTGATGCAAGAAATGTTTTAACTGATAAATGCAATCGTTTAAGTGCTTATATGGTTCACGACTTACTATTTTTAAAAGAAAATTTGTTAATAATAAATGTTTATACTAGATTATAAAAAAAACTTTAAAATTTTAAAATATGTATAAGTTCGGATATTAGGCTCTTTTTTTTTTGACACTAAAGATTTATAGATATGTATTAGATACTTTTTTTTTTATTAGATTAAAAAATATATATTACAGTATTACATAGTGTTTGTGTTCTGATCCTGAATTTGATATTAATTTGGATCGATCTAAAGCTAGCTTTGTACATATATAGAATCTAGATCTGTTAAAAATAGGACTAGAACACTAATATCGTAATATACTGTCAATAATAAAATATAAACTTTTATTTTTATATAATATCACTGCTTAGTCAGCTAAG